CCATGGCGCTCTCCCTCCTCCACACGCTCTCCTGGCTGTTTTGCTCAGTTTTCTTTCCAGCCTCTGGCCTCCCGAGCGCTTCGGCAGTGTCCCCTCCCAGGGCCTTTTTGGGGGTCTCACTGCTTATTAAGAGGCTGGGGCCTCTGGCCCCACCGCTGTCCTGGCAGCTCCCAGTTTCCCACGGTGGCAGGAGCCTGCTGAGGCCAGCGCCTGGCCTGGCTGCAGGGCAGCTGATGCAGAGCACTTCCCTGCTGCAGGGCTCTGCTTCCCTAGAGGGAAACACTCGGTCCCTCTCAGCTGCTGCGTCCCAGCTCTGGGAAGCCCAGGGGATCCCAGTCTGGAGCCCGGATGCCCCCATGGATCGTGCCTGCCTCTCCTGTGTGTTCGGCTAACAGCTAGCAGATAGGACAATCCCTGCACCGGGCTGCTTCTGCAAGCAGCCGTGCCGCTCCCCCAGGCCTCCCCGTGCCCGCCTGTCCAGCCCAGCCGCCCTGAACAAGCAGACGCTTGTTCCTCCGTCCTGGCTTTCAGAGAGGAGTGCCGGCTGCCTCATTAACCCTTTCTTTCCCTGGCAGGCAGAAGATTTTCAAAGGTGCAAAGCCAAGGCCCATCAGAACCGCAGCTGCAGCTCACGGATCATACAGGAAGCGGGGAGCAATAATCATGTGTGAAACAACCTCAGGCAACAGTCTCAAAATGCTGAGTTGGCGCTGCTGAAGGGCTTGATGGTATAGGAAGGCATATTTTGGGCAGGGGATTTAATAACAGCCTTCGACCCAGAGGGAGAAGCAGTGATCTGAGTTCTACTCTCATAAAATCCAGGCAGAGGGATCATTAATTTCATTTTTAGCCTTGTCTGAATAATCAAGAGGTTTGAAGAGCTGCCTTCTCTGTTCCACATGTTTTAGGAGGGGCTGTGCTGGCACCGCTGGGATCAGAAGAGCACTAGACTCTCAGAAGCAACAGCTCTCTGTCACTACCCGTGAAGGTTTTTCTGCGACCAGCTAAAGAGCCAGACCCTTTTGTTTGCTTGTTTCTGCAGCTCAGGGCAGCTGCATAGGTGCACACTGCCTGGGCTGGTCGCTCACCTCCAGGTGGGAGAATGCAAATAGCCAAGAAAAGCCCAAACCTTCCCGCTGCCTGACACCTTTTGCCGCCTGCCGTAGCAGCCCGCGCGCTCCTGTTTGCGAGGCACTGGTGCTGCAAACCACAGCGCTCGCAGGCTGCCCGAGCTGCAGTTGGAAAGCAAAGCGCGGTCCAACTTTGCCGAGGAATTCAGCATGGCGCACGCAGGGGCTGGCCGCCCCGGCCAACGTGGGCTGCTGGTGTGCCGCGAGCTGCCTTGGTGCTGTATCTGGTAGAGAAAAGGTGCCACCAACAGGGACAGCCGCTGGGCCTCCTCCCGAACGCGCTGTGCAAAGACAGCCGGCCGCTTCTCCCAAAGCCGCCGTCAGGCCTTTGAAGGGTGGCTGGGTGGGGAACTGGGGAAGCTCGTGACGATTAAAATGATATTCGGTCTGGGGGGGATTTCCCCCTTCTCTTCTCACTTCCCTCCAGCCGTGCGAGGGGTGGGGAGGCCGGGGGCACTGCCTCTTGCAGGAGGAAGATCGGCCCTGGCTGAGGTTAATGAACTCCTGTGACAGGCTCTGCCGTGCCCGCTGCACAGACGGGCTGCTGGCATTACGTGTTATGCTGCATGTATATCTGTCAGCCACAAAGTTTTGGCAAGAGGCCCCGAGTAGAATTAAACTGCAGTAACCCCACGGCAAAGGGGACAGCTCACTTTCCGTTTCCAGGGGCGTGACGGGCACTGAGCGGTGGAGTATGAAAGCCATTATAATCCGCTCATTCACTGCCCTTAAAGAGGCAGAGGTTTTTTTCTCTTCTTTCCAATCTGCTCCTTCTCTTGGAGGGGAGCCGGGTTTGAGGACAGTAACTTGTATCTTTCCCCGTCCCAACAGGGAGTCTCATGCTTTGCCTAGCCCAGCCCACCACGTTGTCAATCCAACGAGTTTTAAAGTAACTTTTTTATTATGAACAAATAAAATTTCAGATCAGCACAACCAGACATCTGTTTCCATATTAGTAGAAATTATTTCAAAAAGGTTTTTTGTTTTTTTTCTTTTCCAGTACACAAAACAGAGATACTACTATGCAGAAATCCCTAAGCTGTGAAAACTGTATCCTACTCACAACAACCCCAATAGCGACAGAGCTTAGACTATGTGCAGATTCAACTTTCCAAACCTTCCCTAAACACCCAACACTTGGACATCTGCTTTTCACAATACCATTGGGGCTGGGAATGGTCTTGGAAAACAAACCGGTGAGCACTTCCGTCAGCACCGGTGTGTGTGTGGTATGCCTCCCTCCTCCTGCTCTCTATGCAAGTCCACACTGGGCCTCACCACACCCCAAGAGGAAGGGTGTAACCCCATTTTACAGACAGGGAAACTGAAGCACAGAGCGTTTTTAAGTGACTTGGCCCTACATCACGCAGTGAGCAAGTAGCTAAGCTGGGAACAGAGCCCAGGAGAATCACTGCTCTGGCCACTGCAGCCCACTGCTGCATTTTCTGCTTCTACCTCTCATAGACTCATTTGAGCTAAACATACAGAGGACGCGTCCAGGATACAAACATGCAAACAAAAAATATATATATCTTAATCTAACAAAAATTCTAACTCAAGTACATTCAAAATCACCTGCACCCACAGTTCAATGTAGGCAATTAAATAATTAAGAAACCCCTCAAATGTTTAAAATTCAGCAAAAAAGAAAAAAAGTTACCGCAAATAGCTGTCAACACTCCTATGTATATTAAAGAAAGATTTAAGGCACCCAGAGATATTTGCCAATCTACCTTTAAAGTGACTGGGCAAACACCAGGACTGTTTGGTTACTGCTCCTCAGCTTCCACCCTAATTCCAGATCTCTGGACCCAAATAAGCACTTGAAATTTGAAGGGAACCCTTGATGTCAAACCCTGCTTCTCTGCTGAGAGGATGTGAAATATTGCAGCATGTCATGGCACACTTCTCTGCCATAGGGTATGTCACACAACACATTAAGGGCACCAGGAGCAGGGAAATTGTTCTCCTCACCTTCTCCCCTCCCCACCAGCCTTTCAAATTCCTGGATGGAGCAAATTCATCCTCTCTGGGGACTTCCTGTCTAAACCCCTCTGAAATCATGGGAGGGAAAAGGAAAGGAGAAGGACTTCTCAGCAACAAGCGTGTTCTGTCAAGGAGAGTATCACAGAGCCGTCCTGGCTCCTGGGGCATTTCCCAGCAGCAGAAGAAGGCAGAGCTGTGGAGACTCACTCCCACAAAGCTTGCCTGGATGTGACGTGGCACAGCTGAGGATGAGGAAGTCGGCATCTGCTTTGCCTCTGCCTTCCCTGGCCTGTCCGGATAGGGGAAACGCTACAAGCCCCACTCCAACACCAACTCTTTCCAGCCACCCTTGGCCACCTCTTGTGCTTTCCTCCAGCTCCGTTTGATGCATTTAAGCAACAAAAAAATTATACTATTGCTACGACTAATAATAATAATAATAATAAAAAAAAATAATGGGGGGAAAAAAGCTTGTTCAGTCTGGGGAGGGGCTCGGGACCGCTACACCCAGAACTTAACCCTCCGCCTGAACTCAAGCTGTGGTCTCTGCAGCTTGCAGGAAACAATGCCCCCAAGGATTTTTTTTTTAATCCAACATACCCTTCGACTGCATGCTCATAATGTCTCAGGGCCTTGGGTGATGTCACCAACCTTTAAGCAACTCAGCCACCCTCGCTGTGTGCTGTCATGGGCAAACGGTGTACTTGCCAAGCTAGGAAGCAAGGCAGCAGCCATTCCTTGTTGGGCGGCTCTCCGCTGCGCTGTGAGCTATGTGGGGGCCAGCATGCACTGCTGCTGCTCCAGCACCGGTGGGGCACCTCAGGCACCAACCCGCAGAGGCAAGCTAAGGGCCTAACAAGGAGCCACTCTCTCCCTCCCTCTCCCCAGTCCCATGCTATCTCTGGAGCCTTTCCAACTGCAAACCACCTCGGTAGACCACAGGCAGGAAAACAACTCATTCCCAACTCCTCTCTTGGTCTGGCCCCATCTCATTATGGAGGTGGCACATGCTGGGACTAGCATCTTGCCCAGGAGGCCTCGATTCCCTCAAGCCCTCGGTGCCACCTGGTTCTATGTCAGTTTTTGGTAGGCACTTGTTAATCGACAGAGTGGAGCCCATGTGGACAGAGAGACCAGCTTGCTCAACCCTCTGAGATACCCTCACCTCCTTGCTGCGTTTCTAGGCTGTCCCTCGCCACCCCAGCTGCTTAGAGGCGGTGCCAGCTGCCCCTCCTGCTTTGTGCTCGGTACCAGGGAGTCCACAGGACGCACACGGACACAAGGACATCCGCTTGCCATGCAGCGGGAACCCTGCTCTTCTAGCACATCAAGCAGCTTAACACAGTGGTGGAGCTTTGGTTTACATCTTTCTCCCTCCCTCCATTTTGGCAAAGTCCCATTTGCGGGCCAAATCTCGATGGCATCCAAACAAAACCACCTCAGGCCAGTCCAGTCCCATAGCATCAGGTGGCACAGCCCTCTGTCTCCCAGTGCAGCCCTTCTCTCCACAGCTTTCCAAAGGCGCACATGGAGTCCAGCACCCGGCTCTGCGTCCAGTCTCTGCAGGCAGCCGCAGCCCTGAGGCACAGCAGGCTGGTGACAGGAGGGAGGTTGTGATGCCAGACCAAGGAGACAATAAGGCCATGGAGGCTCCCTGTCTCCAGTGCTGTCAGCTACAGCCATTCCTTGTGGCCGACTGATGGACCTGCCTGGAGCCCTCCAGAGACTTCTGGGGCCCCAGCTGGAAGCCCCAGCTTCCCCTGGCCTGTTCTCCACCTGCGCGAGCCAGAGAGGCTCACCGCAGTGAGGTGCAAGGCGGAGAGACAACTTCATGCTCTCTCTTTCTGATGGCAAGGGAAGGGGATGGGGCTGCTTTTCCCAGAGAAAGCAGTTTAGTGATACCAAGTGTCAGCAGCCCTTAAGAAAGGAGGAGGGACAGAGGAAGGAGAGGAGGGAGTTTCTGGGGGTAGGTCGGGGGAAGAAATCACTGACTTTGGCTCAACTCTTCAGCTGGCTGGTACAGAATTCCCCTAACTCCATATTATTTAGCCTGCTGCAATGGGGATACCCTAGGCTACTTTCTACCAGCTCCTCTGCCAGGGAGAGACAGGTACACAAGTAAAGAGAAAGAGGGGATAGAGGGGATAGAAGGGATAGAGACAAAAAGAAAAGAATAGCAAAAAGGAAAAAGAAAGGACGGAAAGGGGTGGCCTTGCATTATAAAGGCAGAGTTCTAGGTCTTAAATACATCACATAAAATACAGTGTGGGAGGGGGTTAAAACTCATTATCATTATCTTAAGCAAACTGGTATCATTATTCAGTAGTTAGTAAACAGAACATTAAATCTTTGTCCAGCGTGTTCAGAGGGGTCAGGAAGGGAGAAAGGAAGAAAAAGGGAGGAAGGAGAGGTATGGATGTGTGTGTGCAGGGGAACAGGAACTCAGCCACTTTTGTGACTCCCATCTCCAGTCCGCATTTTCCGAGCCAGGATGACCTCCTTGGAGACCTTCTTGCGATCACTGGCCAGCCCCAGGAAGCACATGAGGTCAATAAAGGCTGTTGTTAAATTGAAGCGCCAGCCAAACTCACTAGTGGAATAGTCGTAGGGGAAGGTGTGGTGGTAGTTGTGGAAGCCTTCTCCTGCAAAACAAAACCAGAGGGAAGATGTTGCAGAGCTCTAGGATAGGCCTCCTTTCACAGAGCCCAAAGCACCATGTTTCTGAAACAGGTTCTGGACTGAGTCCAGGTTGTTCTCTCCTTTTGGCCCAATTTCTCCCCTCAATGATTTACCCCATCTCATTTGAGCATGGTCCAGCATTAGAAGAAGCCCAAGATGGTACAAAGGTGGCAATGACAGTCATAAAGGACCTATGGGATTTAGAGGAGAACAAGCATTTGGCGAGGAACCCTGGCAGAGTTTTGGCCTACAAACTCCACCGAAAAGCCTACTTTTCCTCTGCTGCCACAAGGAGGTTTCTAGTATGAGCTGAGCTACCAGCTAGACTTGCAGTGAGTCTGTAGGCCAACCCAAGAGAGGCCAATCGATAACATAGACAGTCCCAATACCAAAAGACAAAGGGCGTGTCCAGATGGGAGTAATGCAGATAGACTTCCACTAAGTGACCTCCCTACTCTGGAGAGTGTCAAGGCTGGCTTCAGTGCTCACCCTTTCAATGACGTTGCCTGGACTCTTGCTCCTAACCCCTGAGTCTCTGTCGCTCAAATCCCTCCCTACTAAAAATCTGTGAGCAGATCCTTCAGTGGTGGAAATCAATGCAGCCTCAGTGATGTATAGAGGGCTGCTGTGATGCAAACCAGCTGAGGATCAGGGCTTGGGAGAACAGCTCAGGGCAAATGCTAACCTTGGGATGGCTAGGCTAACCTTGGGGATAGCTCCTCAGCCTTTCTGGGGAAACGAGATCTGGCTTGTCTCACCCTCAAGCACAGCAAAATCACCAACTTGTCCTGAGAACATGTTCAAATATGCACCTGCTAGTTTTCAAGATGATAAATCTAGGACAGATAAGCAGGGATTGCAGCGCAAGATATTCAGTCTGGTAAATGGGGCAGAGAGACCTTGCAGAAGGGTAAATAAAATATTGCTGTTGAGATAAGGAGGTGCTAAGTGTAGCAGAGTCCTTTCCAGCCTGGAAAGAGGCTGGTGTGAGTTGATAACCCCACTGCCCTTATGTACTCACCAGCCAGCCTGGGAAACATCCCCAGAATGCAAAGGCTGCTGGGCTGGATGGGAGAGGTGCAGGGGAAAATGGGGACACCTGGCTTCATAGGGGCCATCCACAATGTAGGAACACTTGAGGTGTTAACTCTTATGTCTTCCTGGGCCAGGCTTTTGGGTGGTATAGATTGATCTGTCAAGGGCAAATCAGCCAATGTTGTCCAAGCCACACTAAGAGGTTGCCTTTCTTATTTCTATATATACCTACTGCCTCCAGCCACTAGCCTCCTTAGCAGACATGGTACCCCTCTGCTCTTTCCTCCCCACCAGGCAGGCCAGCCCCATGGAGCACCTTTCTCTGCTCCACCCCAGAAGCAGCTGCAGCCCCAGGGGTGGACAGGATCAATCTCTGCCTGCAGACTGCAGAGACTGAACTTACCTAGGGCCCCCAGGCTGACCAGGGGGTTCTCTCGTGGGCTGATGTACCGATCATATGGCCGGTTGCCAAACATGTGAGCAGCGCTGTTCACTAGCCAGGTGGCATTGAGCCCTATGACGTAGCGCAGGATGGCCGGAATGAAGAAGCTGATGATGAGGGATTCCTCCCAGAAGTACCAGGGCACTACAGTGGGCAACGTGAAGCATAGCAGCACCACTGAGGGCTTGTAGTACCTGGAAAAGAAGGGACCAGAAGGAAACAGTTTAGTGACAGAGGCAAGGCAGGAGGAGCTGGTCCAGTCCTCCCTTTGGAGGAGTCGTGCTCACCTGACTGATACAGGGAAAACCAAATATAGAAATACCCCTGACCCCTGGCATCTTTTGCCCTGGATGCGTAGAAGTGCTTCTTGGAGACTCCAGAGTCTTACCACTGGGCAGAAGACAGACTGAACTCTTGCTTTCCCTGCCCCAATCTCACATACACACAATGCAATGTCTCTTTCACCATGGGTCCAGACACTAGCTGCTGCTGCTGGCCTGATCTGCCATTTGCTTCTCAGCTCTGTTGGGTCCCACAAAGGCATCCTCACAAGGAGGAGTCCCATTGAAGGTCCCCTCCACAGCTCTGGCCCAGGGTTGCAAATCCTTGCAGACTTGGCCCTGCGTACCATATACCCTCCCAACAAGTGCAAGCAAGGGACACTTTTCCCCATCACGCAACTGGACATATGGGACCCCCCCCCATACTGGAGAGATGGGAGTGGAGAGAGCCAAACCACTCTGATGAGCTGCCAGAAAAATCCAGGGTACAAAACGGAGAAGAGCCATAAACCTTGCCTGGTTCATGTGGGACTGAGCTAGGGAACTCCAGGGTGAGGACAGTTACTACACAAGTTCAGCCTCCCATCCCCACAGCCCCGGTAACAAGGCTGTGGATCAGCTGCATGTAGGAGGATCCTAAAGCTTTACTCAACCATGAGCCCATCATAGTAGGCACAGGGTAAAAGACAAACCATCATGGCTCAGGTTCATGCAACCAAAATCCAGGTTCTGTCCCTGAGCACAGTGATTTCTCCTGGCTAGCAGTTCTGACAGCTTAAAGACACCCCATATGAGAAGCATCAATAAATCAAGACTTTTCCTTCTCAGTGACTGCCTCTCTTCTGTCCTCATTTTAAGCTCCTGTTTCACCACACGGAGGGTAGAGGTATGGCCTGGAAGGCTGTTGCCATAACCTCTCCAAGGAATGGCCTGGAGGCACCTGACGAACTGGCTCGCAACCAGCCAAAGCGGCAGGCCAGACATGTGCAGGCAGATGTGAAGTTGTTTGGCAGTGGGAAGCTCAGCCCTCTGCAAACGAGATGGTACAGGGTAGCTGAGTGAAAAAGGCATATGGGTTTTTGATGGTAGCACTAGTTCCTAAATGCTTTCTACAGGAAAGGTGGGTTCATCCCATTGCAAAGCCTCGGACAGGCTGCAGGTGCAACATTTCTCATGAGAGGCCCTCAGTCTTCTTCGTGCCAGACTCTTCTCCCTCAGAGGTGCCTGGGCTCCCCAGCCCGTTTGCAGGGTGTCTGCTCCATCCCACACTAGCTCTGCCCTGGCACGCCCCCCGCCACTCACCTCCGTTGGAACATCACCACTTTGTCAGCCTTGACGTCGCTCAGGTCGAGTTTCTGGCCCTTCTCTATGACATCAGGATGCTTGCGTACCAGCAGCCAGCCGATGTGGGAGAAGAAGAAGCCCCGCATGGCATTGTGAGGGTCCGCATCTGTCTCGGAGAACTTGTGGTGGACACGGTGGTCTCGGACCCACTCGTAGATGTCATTCTGTAAGGCAGTGGGAGTGGGGAGTCAGGGCTAGGGCTGGAAATGCTCTTTTTGAATTAACAAAAGAGCCTAAAACAATTAAGCACCTAAATCCCATTGACCTTAGCTCATTTCAGCCATTTTAACTCTCTTCAGGGTTTGGGGTTTTTTGACTTTTTAAACAGAGGTTTGACCTCCTTTGCTCAAGCATTTTGATTTTCTTCAAAAGCTGCTTTTTTGTGGGCATTCTTTTAGCTCTTTTTTAAATTAACTTTAAGCTTTGCTCTACACATGCTCTGCAGCATCACAGGCTCTGACTGGTCAGTCTGTTCCCCCACCCCTGCAATAGCCAGCCCTAATTGGCCAGACTATGTCTTCTCCTTTACACACTGTGCTCTGGTTGGTCACTTGTTCTCTGTCTCTATGCCAGCTGAGATTGACCAATCTGCCCCTTCCCTCTGCACTGACATTTTCCATGGGTCAGCCTGCCTTACTTTCCCTGGTATTGCCAAACCAGATGGAACTGTTTAACTTGGAGGTGAGATTACTTTTAACATTTTTTCTTGGAAATCAAATAGTCTTTAAAAAAGTGAAGGTCTCTCTTTAGAAATAGAATAAACACACCATTTCAATGACAATTATCCAAAATAACCCCATCCTTCCACCTCCTAAAGAGTTCAGTCCAAGCTGCAAAATCAATACAGTTTGGAAAATGCCAAAGTTTTCATCATTTGTATTAAGAAATGATTGTTTTGGCCAGTTTTAAGAATCGCTTCAAAATTAATTGCCTATACTCATTCCTTTATACTAAGATTTCCATGTGCTAAAAGCCATGCATTACACCAACCTAGAAAACAGGAAACTGAGAGATCCAAGCACTTTTCTATTTCCTGCATTACACAAGACGGTCCTTAAACTCTTAAGTACACGAGGCTTTTCCTCAAAGCACTTACAAGGTAGGGAAGCAGCATAACTATCTCTATCTTATGCCTTCAAGGACTGAGTGACTTGCTCACATCCACACAGGGAGCCTGTGGCAGGAGACACAGGAGACAACTCCTCCTGAGTTGTTCTCCAGTGCCATAGCCATCAGACACTCATCCTTCAACTGAGGAAATGATTGCATGGGCCATCCAATGAGACAGTGATAGACATGGGCCAGGATTCATCTCTCGCTTATATCCAAAAACGAGGAACAAGTGTCTGCCTTCCTTCCTTCTAGCCCACCCCAAGCACATCCAAGTATCACCAGCCCCCACTGATGTTAGCCACAGCTTGGTCTCTCAGCATCCCCCAGAAGAGGGCGGCCCAGCAGTCTTCCCCATCCATTAAGCAGAGAACAGCCACTATCCATGCCGGAAATACTTTGCCTGTGACCCTAAGTCTTTTTCTCATCCCAGACCCCAGACCATATAGCACAAAGTAACTTGAGACATCCCAGCCTGAAAGCTGACAGACAGCTTGGGTTTGCCCATCTGGGGTTGCCTTCTTTGTCTCCTGGAATCCTTTCACTGGAAGTAGGAGGTGCAAATTTGGAAAAAGACCACATACCGGCTGTATACTAGCTGGAGAATGGTAGCACCTCATCCATCACACCCTGTGCAAAAACACCCACAAATCAGAGGTTTCAAAGCTGCAAAGTTGGGATCTTTGACCCAAACTTTAGCACAAATCATTTCTACAGATCTTAGTTTGGGGCCACCTCTAACTGTGACCTTGTCTGAAAATCATAGTTTAATGAGACCAGCCTACAAAGCCTAGGAGAACTCCTCCTTCGGCAGGAGTTTCCAACTACAGGGTACAACGAGAGGAACTTCTGCTGTGCTGCAGCTGCATGGTCTTGTAGGCAGCGGAGCTGACATGGGGCAGAACTGCTGAATTCTCTGAAATCACAAGTCACTGGTCGCTGCTTCAGCAGCCAGCAGTCATTCTCTTGAGGACCTCAGATAAGATCATTTAGGGTCTTCTTTGGCTTTAAAAGTTACCAGCCTGATTTTAGAGTGGCTGCCACTAATGGGAATGAGGTAAATTCAAAATAAACCTTCTTTTGATCTCCTTGAAAATAACTATTTAAAACAAATTCCATGTGACATGGAATTTTCAGTAAAACTTTGGATTAGTTGCTATTGAGGCTGAAATATCTGTCTATTTCACATCTTTGTCTATCCCTATCCCCTACAGCAATAGCTCAGCAAATTCTTTCCCCCTCTGCCCTGTAACTCTGCAAAAGACTGGCCAGTACACAGCAGTGTACTGCTGTGGGACCCATCCCATTCCCTTGCTGAGCACTCGATCAGTACCTGGAATCAGCAGTGTGGTCCTTCATATTCCTTATAAACACTCTGGTTTGGTACAGGGAATAGGGAAGTAATTGAAGTTTTAGAAAGTTTTCCAAGGCTGGAAAACCATCCCCACCCTCTTCTGATTTCGTGACAATGAAATGACATCCTCTAGGGCTACACAGAGGGGAGAGACAGATGATGTCTCTGAAATACCTGGTACTCTTGGGCTTTACTCTTCTGCCCCAACTCAGCTGAAAAATCACTTAAGGGCACAGCACTAACTGCTTTCTGTGCACCTTCTTCTAGCAGAAAGTGCTCCACCCTGCCATGCTCCATCCTGCCATGCTCCTGAGCACTTGCTAGCACTTTAGCAAGCCTGTATGAAGCCCTTTTGAGTGCAGTTGGAGGACAGAGTGCTGTTAGAGCCCTCTCACAGTAGCAAACATTAGAGATCACCATGATTTTTCTGTACCAATCTGATCTGAGTTTTCACTGTAGTTTCTACTAAAGAGCCATCTCTGCTACTTTCCACAGTCTCTAAGGACTTCCTGGTTTGTTTGTTTGCTTCATGAACTATGAAGTGCTCTCATGAGTGGTTAGGCAATATCCTGAGGTGTTTATCAGCTGCCTGCAGTCACTTGGACCACTCTGAATGAGCCAAACCCTTCTCTCCTTGAAACAGCAGTGCCCTGGAATGACTCTCCGGAAGACAGTGGCAGGACCAAACAACATGGTTATTAGGTATCATCACCCTTACTAGGCACAGAAGCATCCCCTTAAGTGCATAATCTCAATAAGTTCCTGGTCCTTTCACAGTAGCAAATTCTACAGCCTGGCTCCCTGGACTGTACAGATGCGTCCCCCCTTATCACCAGTGCAGTGAAGGGAGGGTGAGGCAACCTGAACAACAGGAGAGTGCTTGGCACTTCCACATGTCCTTCACAGGACCAAGAACAAGCAGGGGGAGACCGTACCTCGAGGGAAGGGTATATTCCTGCTTTGGAGAGCTTTCCTACCCCTGCTCTTGGCTAGCAGTCCTCCCCTACCTTGTTAGGGAGCTTTGTCCCAGAGTCACCCTCCGAAGGGACAAGGTGAAGACAATGAGACAGACTCCAGCACCAGAGTGTTAGGTGGAAAGGGTAGGCTGTTGCTTAACAAGAGGTAGCAGGAGAGAGGGATCTCTTCAGCTTGTGCCCTGCACCTGACACATGGATTTAGGGGAGTGCTTTCTTCTGAGGACGGGCAGCACATGAGGAAGGTGCTTACCTGGAAGGCCAGGGAGTTTGCAATAGTCAAGAAGATCCGCAGGGGCAGCGTGGCTTTGTAGGACCGATGGCTCCAGAGG